GTCTAAATGGACCAATAAATAAAATATGCTACGTAAAATATGGACTTCTAAATCTACGATATAAGTTTTGAAAATAAACTCATAAGCAAACTTGTGCCCCTCTACTTGTATATAGGCACTATTTGTGTAAAGGAGTCAGAGATATATTGCTATAAATCGCCGCCGCCGACGGGAGTGTAGTGAGGAGTGTGGCGCAAGGCAAATTGTGCACGCAATCGATTTTTGAAAAGCGATTTCAATGATTAATGATGCTGCACAAGATTTCAAACACAAATCTTGCCAAGTCAAAACGAAAAAAAGAGTAAAACTGCGCTGATTAGAAAAATTGTGCTCAAGCAAACGGATTTCTCTACGCTTCTGACCGAAACATACACACACACACTTATATGGATACTACTGATATGGCGTTGTTGTAATTTAGTGGCGCATCGTGCACTGTCAATGCGCTTTGGCCATTGGCTTCATGCAGCTACACAAACACACAAGCTCTTCCACAAAAAGTTTGCCAGCACGCTCAGCAATTGAGTGGAATGATGAAATCATGCTTCAAAATAAATTGATGAACGAATTGTCGTCTTGCATTCGGGAGTAGTCAAGTGAACAAATTGCAGCAGTGTTGCAGCTTCAACAAATTTCCCCTACGCCGTTGATGTCCTGTATCCAGCGGACGGAAGTTCATGCGTTTCATTATGCACTGGCACAACACTAGCGACAGCTGTGAGAGTAAGCGTGCTCTACGAAAGCGATGCAGACAAAATATGAAGCCAGTGACTGGTGCAGCGCTAGAAAATTTGACTGAAAATATGTGTATTGACTCAAGCATTGTAAACCTCAGTGATTCTTGATTTTCCTTTGCTAAAAAATACCCTTGGCAATAATTCTTGCAGCTTTACGCGACTACAAAAAGCAAACAATGCTTCTGAAAAAGTATTGTAATTCCCGCACCAAACAGATTTTAACAGCGTTTAACGAGCTTTCATCGGTAGGTTATTGAAAGCTTACAACAGTGATCACATTTATTGAAAATAATTGAATTAGTCATGTTAAATGAATAAGTTCGAGGAAAGAAATGCAAGAGAATCTATGAATCTAATACGATACGATATCCGAATGACAGGATTAAATTATGTTCTCATCTTATTATTACTTATTTGTTTGTAATAATTATAAAAAAAAACAAGTAAGCAAGGACTAAGTTCGGGTGTAACCCGAACTTGCAACTTGCAAGGATCAAAGGCGGCTAAATACTTTTAGATGTTGCGAAACTTCCTTTAAGGTATCCCACAGATTAAAAAATATTTTTGGTAAAGAGTCAGCCATAAGCACTGAGGTACAGATATTCGGTATCTGGGGACTTAAAAAGTTATAACCCAATTCCGCCCCTTTTTGGATGTAAAGTTGCCCAACTTAAATATACTTTGTGAACAAAGTTGTATTTTGATAACGTCATTGGCTCTCGATTTATATGCTGTAACCTATAAGGAAGTTCCGTCCTAACTTGGTGCTTAGTTATAGCACTTTATAAATTTCTGATTAACGGCATTTCGAGGGAGTAGCACTGATCTGATTCCGCGATTTAAGAGGTGACTGAGGAAGAGAAGTATACAATATTTTGTAATTTTTCAAAAAGTTGACATGGTCACTCTATCTAACAGATTTAATATAGATACTTCATGAACCAGTCAAACTATATAAGCCAAAATTGATGGAACGTTTTTCAATGCCTTCGCAGCGCAGTCCATAAAATTAAAATTTCGGTCGAAGACCACGCCTACTTTCCATATGTTGACATTTTGAACCCTGTCAATTAATTTAACTTTTGCATTATTTACCTGCCGATTAAAAATAAACTATAACACTAATACTGAGTACTACATGGTATATGGTATATTCTGAATATGTGGCAACCCTCTTCCGAAATGGTAGTTATCTACTAATACCTTCATTTAAAATCCATTTACAGGACACGTAGACCCATTTACTTATTGAGAGCTTACTTTGTAAACATATCTTATATAATAATTTAGCATGATTTCCTAGCGTCCTATTAGTGTATCCTAATTGAATTTTGGATATGCCGGATTATTTGATGTGTGCCTTATTCGATTTGATACCCTCAATTTTAGTAAATGAATTGTGCCATTCCATTTAACCGGTTCGTTGATATTTACCCGCATATTTCTTCGAAAGCCGCAATTATTGTTATTGTGGTGTTTTAAGCGATTTTTTTGAGGTCACGGCTGAAGGTTTTACAGCAATTAATCACCGTTTGAATGTCACTTAATTTTATGGTTGACATCATAAACTTTTCTAAAATAACGACTGCTGCATTTACAATCACACTTCGCTTTCATCACGAAAAGATGTCGGGTGTAATACAACGCCACCAGCTGCGCACCAAAAGCGTTGATGAAATCAGAACTAAAAGTAATTCATTAACGTGGGGGAATGCTGCGAGGGACAACATTAACGGTATTGAAGAGTGCATAGTGATGTTTGCCAACCAGTAGCGAACATTTTTCAACCCAATGCGCTCATGTGGCTCCATCCAATGGCAAAATTAAGTTTTAAATAACTCCAGGGACGCTCATAAAATGAACTTTCAGCCATTTAACTGATTCGGCGGTTGGCAAGCTGGGTTAATTTACAACTGCGTTTGTGGTCAACGTAAAATGCCGAATTGCTATTGATCGCTTTGCTGTAACCAACCTGATATAAAACAATGAAGAGCTGGCATTCTGAGTCGCCGCTACGGGAAAAACGAAAGTTATTACATTTTTCCAAGGATTCGTGACGGCAATTAGTTTAAAGTAAATTGTGAGATCTTAAACCCATAATACTTTATAGTTAATTTTGTTGGAAAGTACAAGTATTATATACTGTTAAAATAATACGATTATGATAGTGTTCTTAAAGAAATAAGACTTAATATTATAAAGAACAAACAACAATGTTAACTTCGGTTACACCTATATGATGTTAGGTTTAGTAAAAAGAAAGCCATTATTTTTCCAATAGATGGTGTTGTATAAGTCCGATCGTGTTCCGCTTGATGGCGTTAGAAAGATGACATTTCGTACAAAAATCCTTTCCGACAGTTTTAGTTGATTCAGTTTTGTTTGAGCGCGCGTCAAAGATGTACATTAGCAAAGAAAAATAGCTATATTTTACAGTTTTTCTTCGATAAAGGCGAAAAGCCAAGCCAGGCGGCTGAAAATGTGAACAGTATTTATGGTCCTGATACTGTAACAGCTAATCACGCGCAATTTTGGTTTCGTCGACTCCGTTCCGGTAATTTCGATGTCAAAGGTGCACCACGCACTGGAAGGCCAATTGTCGAAAAAGTCGATAAAAGCATTGACATTGTCGAGTTCGACCGTCATTTACGCACGGTTTCGATTGTCTAAGAGCTAAAGATTGCACAAAAAACCGTTTGGAACCATTTCAATAAGGCTGGATACGAAAAGGAGTTCGATGTATGGGCGCCATACGAGTTAACGCAAAAAAACCTTATGGAGCGAATTTCCATCTGCGAATCGCTGCTGAATCGCAACAAAATTGACCTATTTCTGAAACGGTTGGTGACTGGCGATAAGAAGTGGATCACTTACGACAAAGTCAAGCGAAAACGGTCGTGGTCCATGTTAAATTTCGTGAAGAGACCTTTCAAATAAAAACATTTTCCATGCAAGGATTTTATTTTTATTCATCCAGTGTTTATGACAGCTATATCTTAAAGTGGTCCAATATCGCGGTTTTCACAAATGAATAGCTTATTAGAGTAAAAAGGATGTGTGCAAAATCGATTTCTTAAACACTATGGGGCTAGTTCCCGTCGATACTGACGAACAAACGCACATGGTTAAATCTATTGAGCTCATCACACTGATGATATATATAGGTATTATTAGGGATCTTCGACATTTTCCTCGGTATTATAAACTACGTGGCAAACCTAATATACCCTGTTAAGAGTTTAAAAACAACAGGAAAAAACGTTAACTTCGGTTGCACCGAAGCTACCTTCACAAATACAAAAGGTTCCTTAGAAGAAATTGATTCCGATCATTCATTTGAGCAATTTCTTCGAAGATTCCAATATTGCCATAGGTAATAATTCGTTCCAAATTTTATGAAGATATCTAGTCAAATGAAAAGTTTTCCATACAAGGGCTTGATTCCGATTGTTCAGTTTGCATGGCAGCAATATAGCGTCCGATATCGGCCATTACGACAAATGAGCAGCTTTTTGGTGAGAAAAGGTTATATGCTAAATTTAAGATCGATATCTCAAAAACTGAGAGACTAGTTCGCATATATACAGACAGACGGACGGACAGACGGACATGACTAAAAGAACTCAACTCACATGTTTAATTCTGGGTGTTACAAATTTCGTGGCAAACAAATTTTACTCCGTTCATCACTAAAATCCGTGAAACTTCGTTTGATGCCGTCGACGTGAATTAAACCACAAAACTTGATAAAAGCGTCTGCAAATTTACTTAACGAAAACAAGGAAGAAAAAGCCATTAGAAATGCATACGTAACATGTACCCTTGAAAAAGACGTCAAGGGCGCGGAGTTATATACAAGAGAACCACACCTATATGTGCAGTATAATAAAGGGTAATATATTGTTAGGCACATGTAACTGGCGTTCTTGTAACCTTGTACAATGCCAAGCAAAAACGGCAACAAACGAACAAAAAAGGCCACGAAAACAATAACGCGAGTGGTCACCTTTCCTTGCATTATTTTTATTGATATACTCAGAGGTTTAGTATCAAAATAAAGTTAAGTAAATACTTATACTTCTTTGCACTCGATTCGTAATTGTTACATCTCGGATGTACTCTTATGATACTCAAACCGTTGAGATATGGTATTTATTACCGAGCAGCTCACTCTAAGGCCTCTTGACTGTTTATTAAAACAGGTTCTTTTTATCAAATGAAATATAGTTTCTGATGCATATTTCTTTTTGATTTCTTTTCTAGATTATCAGGACAAGTCTATCAGGATAGTACAAAGACAGTCACGTGCAAAATATAAAAAAATACTTTCAAATCATGCTGATCGATAATCGATTTAAGGCGAATATTGTAGAAAAAGTATCTCAAGATTTATTTGGATCAAAATTAAACCTCAAGTACAAAACGTTGGATTTTTGTACCGGAAATAAGGTTTTTGCCTTTATTTGTAAATAATTATTTTAATTGTAAATAATATTTTCGCTATATTGAATAGTTTAATATAGTAGAATATAGAATAATGTATACCTCAGACAAAGCAACGCGTGGGCGGATCTGCTACTTATTATACAAATTGGACAAATTAATAACTGTAATAAGATCATACAGAAATCGGAGAAAAATTCAATAAACCTAAACACCGCATGCAAGCGTTGTGCTTGAAAAAGTTGCATATTGCATAGTCATGCATATTGCTCCAACATGGCGCTGGATGCAGGCATCTACGCTTTTAGCTGACTACACTTGCATTTGCATTTGCATCTGCATGTATAAGTAAGCTCATGAGTGTGACAAGTACATATATTTATGCATAAATGTTGCCTATACAGCTCAACTGCTTGCATTGCCAGTCCTGCCATTTCCGTTGCAAGAACAATTAATTAATTGTTCAGCGAAGTGAGCAATGTAACAAAGGTTGGGCTGTTGCTCACACACAATATGCGTATATGCATGCGTACACACCGTATGTGCAGAGCAGCTGTAACGGCTGCGTCATGCAGAGCAACAGCGGCAATGAATCGCCAAACATTTCCTGAGAAACGCTGACTGAGTGAGGCACTTTAAAGAGCGAAAGAAATTATTGCCAATATTTCGTTCGCCAGCCAGAATTCAGCTGCACTTAAATTATCCAATTAATTGGATGTTTGCGGCCTAGTGTGTCGCTGCGGTTTTGCTTCCGCACAAAAGACAGAAATATGCGCATACGCAATGCGGAGGCGAGAGTTGCAGTAAGTGAAACTGAAAGCGGAGAAGTGTTCGAGGAATGTTCTACTTTGAACTCAATTGGCACGCAGCAAATATTGAAATGTCGGCTGGTGAATGATCATGAGAACATTCTGGTCTTTGGTAATACACAGTCAGGGTTTAAGACGTAGGAATAGTTATGCGAATTTAAATGTAAAATAATTCAACAAGCAATTTATTACATTGTCGTAAAAGTCTTTAATGAACATTTAATATTCTTCCCTTTGCTTCGGTTTCTGTCGAGAAACCGAGTCACGAAAAGGCCTTCTCGAGTAAGTGACACCAGATTGCAGACAAGTTTTAACTAATTCTTAAACATTTTTGCATGTTCCAAGCTGCAGTTGTGGGTTTTCGAAGATCTTTGGAGAAGCCTCTAGCTTCTTGTTCGCAAAAATATTAAACTGTTTCCACAAATTTGTCACACTTACTTGACAACACTTCAAGAGCACTGTAACTGGTTGTTAAAAATTGGGATCATTAAAATCCTTGCAAGAGTCGCGTAGCATTTTATCTATTAATTCGAGATCACATTTTATGATAATATGCACCGTTCAATAACTTGAATTCATATTGTAAATGATTTTAAAGCCAACTTATTAAAATTTTTGATGGGATAGCTTGTATAGCAGCTATATGTTATAGGTGTGCGATATCGGGGACTTAGGTCGTCACTCTGGTCATTTGTATATATTTTTCTAGGGTCTCCTACATTTCCTTCTGGGTGTTACAAACTTCGTAGCAAATTTAATATACCCTGTACTCATTATGAATACAGGAAGCTTTCTGCAAGTTTTTCGTTTTTTATAGGCCACGTAGTCCCAACACTAGTTAACTTCTATTTAAATAAAATAATAGAATATACTTAATATTTGAATACTTATACGCCATGCAATCCCAACTGTAGTTGGTATACCCACTGATTCACCTGAGTTCGATCAATGTTCTAACTAAAATTCAAGACATGAAAGTGCGTCTCATAGTGAAGCCTTTAGTAAAGGTGTACAAATTAATAAGCGGTTTTAGTAAACCCTTTCCAGAATAGGAACTATAATTACGTACAAGATAATTTTCAGACAAAATAATTTTTTTTTTTAAGTTCCTAATTGATTAAGTTGACTTGATTTTAAAACCTATTTAACGACTGATGTTAATTTTTATTTTTTCTTTAAATATATTATAAAAATATAAGTTGACGTCAGATGCAAAATTTACTTACCAGTTTTGCAGGCTTGTTTCGAATAAATCTGCAATCAAAGAAAATATGTTGTTATTGGAATTCTTACTTCGTTAGATAAATATATATATTATATTTTCTAGTTTATTTAGGAAGGTCGCGTATTAGAATGTCTAATTATATTTGTTTGGATTATGGTATATAATCCGAACAGATATTTGAAGATTAGTTAGATTTTTACCTCTACGATTGAGATTTATTACAGTACGTTTTCTGCAAAAATGAATGCTTATGAGGAATAAAGCTCTACACTTTGAATAGAGTACTCCTATTATTGTTAGTTTTTGATTCGTTATGTATGTTTTTACTAGCCGATTAACTTCAAGACCCTAAAATACTTTATAATTATAATGTATAATGAACCATGATATCAAAAATAAAATCTGTATCTTAAGATGATTGTATAATATAATATTATATATATATAAATTATATAATTGAAACGTTCAAGAGTTCACTTAGTGTTATCCCTAACCCATATATGGGATGTATGTGAATTCATCAATTCATAAAAAGAAAATACGAACACTTCCAGCTGTACACCCATCGAGGGTTTTATGTACGCGTCAAAGTGTTGTAATGCAAGATATTGCTATCAACAGAACATATCTCAATTGCTGCATGAATTGAGTGCCTCGCAGTGTATGAGCACAACCGACAGTGCTTACGAGCACCATGTTTATTAATGCATATGTACCAGTACTCCGAAGTGTATGCGTGCGTACTTCATGGTGATGTGCAACATATTTACTACTCGACGCATGCAGTTCCCCATTGGTAGCAGTCATAAAACATCATTTAACTGCATTAAAAGTGATTGGAAATTGCGTTAAATTTATGATCGATTTAATCACTTTGGCAGGCAATAGGCAATCAGTAGCGGGAAACACCATCAGGCCGTTATATCACTGACTGCATCGACAATAAGTTGCAGACGTTGTTACGCTCGTACGGAAAGAAATGTTGATGCAGTTTCGAATCGGAACTTGTTATGCTTTTAAAAAGTCGTTAAAAATTGTGCTAAGTGACTTAGAAAGTATGTGAGTTTGTTGTACAAATACACTCATGTTAAAAATACTTTGACCCATTTGCACAACTTGGGAAACATATATTTTGAGACTATTTTCTAATTTATGAAAAATGTGTATGGACTTGCACTTTAGTATGTGTACATATATGTATATGTGCAAAAATCATTCAAATACAAATAATTTGATATTAGCATATGTTTTGAGTGTAAAAGTTTTTTTGTTTAAGTAACCATGCTTACTTACTCACATGTATTTATATCTTTTCTATCTTAATTCTTCAGTTCAAAATCTTTTATCTATATTTCTTTATATTAAATTTTTATATATTTATAACATTAAATATATATATCCATAACATTTTTGTAATTTTACAACTTTCTTACATAAAATCTAGTCATTCGATGACGACTTGAAATCTTAGGATCCACCACTCTGTATATCAATGTAAAAACGTGGTAACGAAATAACAAATTAAGGTCATAACTACGCGCACTTCCCATTTAAATCTGCTTATATTGTATATAAAGATACCAAAAACGAAGAATTTGGTGTACACATTTCATAATTCCCAAACAAGTTGACTAATACCCATAAAACCTTCCCATACGACCTCCGTTTAAATTTCAGACTTCCATGTTTCTAGTGTCCACACTGATCCAAAATCTAAAATACCTAATATAATATTTATATATATATATAATAAAGTCTTTTTGGCTGCTTTTACACCAGTTTTATTTTAGAAATCTGAGCTTATCCTTTGGCTTACTTAACACTTATTCATATATCGAGTACCATATATAAGTATATCGATCTGCATCTGCATAAACAAACTTTGAGTCAAAATATCGGTTCAAATCATCAGTATTAAAAGCGTATGCAAATTTTAGAGGTTCTTCCCGAACATGTAAAATTTTAAGCCGATTTTGTATATTTTTGGGCTATATCAAAAAACAGCATCGGTACTTACTAGTTTCATTAAAATATCATACCTTATGTCTCTTATTAACAGGTATTAAAATATTCGTCATACATCACTCAATTCTGGAACAAATAACTAGAACAGCATTATAGTAAGTACATTCATTTTATAATTTAATCTTATTGACTTTGAACAATACTGCTATACTTTGAATTTGTTATATATTATTATTATTATTAATAGTGATTCCTGCACTGTATTCATATACATAGTACGCCATGTCGTATGAGTATGTATAAACCACTTGTATGAATGCTCAGGTCATTTAATGTATAACTTTTAAAGGATCACTTTTATGAAAAAATCATTCAGACCTTTTTTATAGAGCGGAAAGTTTTGTATTAAAATATCACTTTTTCAAAGTTGTAGATTAACTTGCTTAATGGAAAATATCAAAAAATCTCATGTTATATACATAAGAAAAGATATATAATTTACGCATGGCCTAAATTGAAAATAAAGAGCTTATTTACGTTAGATTCATATTTTTGGAGCAAAAACTGGAACTTCAGTGGCGTTTTCAAAAGAACAATTAACTTCGAAAAAAACCAAGAACCTAATATACATACAAAAATTCTCACTCACTACATATCTGCTATCGAGTTTGGATTTTCAATGTATAAATGTTCTACATATTCAGTTTCGTTTTGTTTTGGTGCATTTCGTTCTCAATTGCCCACATTTCACTTTCTCTTATTTACTTACTTACTTTTTACATACTTATAGCAGCTTTTTTACGCACTCTTCTTTTGTTATATTTAAACAAGGAATCTTCAATGCCTTTGTAAATCCTTCGCCAATGTTAATAAAAGTGGTGGAGAGTACTCATAGGCAGACAACGCATGACATATGAGTAGCACTCAAGAGCGACTAAATATATGCGTGCCCATTTATTATAATGGATTATACGAATTTATATTACATATGTAATAAGAGTTGTAATAAGGCTGTGTATTAAATCGGGATTAATAGTAAAAGAAAGGAGTGCAAAGCCAAACTCAGATGAAATCAAGTTTTATATTAGCGAGCATATACCAAACCCAACCGACAAGCGGTTTTGAGCTCAAGATTCAATGCTCGTATATAACTGAACCAAATATAAAATGAATAAAGTCACTTTGAGGTTTATCGGTGTTCCATAATTTTGAATAGCTTTGCAAATACGGAATACTACAATATATAACTCACTCAGATATATTTCTATCGTACTCGTTAAGCTTTTTGCTTCAGTGTACTCGTACGCCGCCCCTCTTATGCTACTTTTTAAATAGTAATCGTGACCTCAAAACCTCGATCTCAATGCCACTGAAAGGAATGGAATTGTATTCACTTCAATGTCGCTTGTGAGTATATATAAATTTATATACACTGCATTTGAATAACATAGCATTATACACTTCATAACAAATATATATATAATCAGATATATGAAACTAAGTCATACTTTTAAAAAATTTACTGTGTAATCAAAATACCTAAGTAAACAAGCTGGGACCTATAGCGTCTCACTAGATCCCCTCTTTTCGTCAGTGAAACCAGTAATAGTTTCGGTGGTGATTTATTAAAACACCTGTGGAATGAGAAAATAGCGAAGACCTCACGTTACATCTTGCACCTTACCACGTAAATAAAGTGACTTAACCTTATCAGTGTGTCTTTAGACCTGGAAAATCTACCAGATTTTTAAAATAAGTCAAATCGTTGGAAAGACCCCCGACAAACAGATCGACATTGACAGAAGCTGCCTATACGAGCCATGTCTAAGTTTGGTAAACCTGCGAAAGTCTTACGATTATGCAGAATGACATTAAGCACAACCATCTGCTCCCTTAAAATCAGGAAGGATCTATTTGACTCGTTCAATACCAGGTTTTAGGCAGGGTGATTCTCTTTCGTGCATCTACTTCAATATAATGCTGGCAAAAGTGAAACGCGCCACTAATATGAACCGCAATGGCACTTTCTGCTCTAAAATTACAATTGCGCTGAGGTACGCTGATGATATTGACATCCTAGGCCTTAACAACAAAACCGTCAGTGCAGCTTTTTCCAGCCTATAAAAAGAAGCGAAAGAGATTAGTCTTGTTGTGAACAAGGGCAAGACAAAGTACTTGGAGGCTACATTTAAAGATTCGTCGCATATTGGGAACGACCGTGCTGTTGGCAGCTATAAATTTGAAAAAGTGAAGGACTTTGTTTATCTCGAAACCCGTATAAATCTCACCAACACTCTAAGCCTGGTGATCAAGCGCAGAATAACTCTTACAACTTTTGCTCTTTTGGGGTCGGTAGGCAATTGAGAAGCAGATCCCTATCACGACGAAACAAAATTATTATCTATAAGTCTTTTGATATTTCCGTCCAATTATACCTACAGCCCAGAAACATTCGAGAGAACTGTGTTTCGCGTGAACGGTGAAAATCGAAGAAGATAGAACCACGAACTGTATGAGCTCTATGACGATGTTTCAGCGTTAAACTCCTTCGATTCGAAACCCATGTGTGGAGAACGGAAGAAAGAGCGCCCACGCATTCACTCTCGGCACAGACCGACTCACGACTGTATTACCAAATAAGTAGAAGTTCTGGGATGCTAGTAAGCAATTTTCTGGGCTGGAATTAAATAGAAGCGTATAAACACATGAGTACCCATGCATGTATCTATATGTAACTATCACTCAAAATGGAATATTTTTCATTTGACTTAATTAAGCTAATTTATTTAACCTTATTAGTTGCGAACAAAGCCATTGCTCCCGATATAGGACACATACAAAGATATATCTAATCTGTGGGTGAGAGTAGACAAATACAAATGTTTTGCCAAAGTATCTACCACAAGCTTTAGTGGGCCTTCCCCCGCTCGTATTCATGCGTGTGTACATATGAAAGTATTAATAATAAGCTTCTCTGGTGACTTGCTCCTACGCTTAGACGGCATTTATATAGAGGTTGTTTTAATACACAACAACTAAATGTAGTGTGTGTGTGTAAGTGTAAGTTGAAACATTTCTTATAAAGTTAATAACATGGAGGCTTTGTTGTTTACTTGCAAGTTCAAAAGCGAAGCTCGCCGAACAATCTTTATTGTTGTGGCATTTGGTAAATTTATTTGTTGTTTCTGTTGGCAAAGTTGACTAGTTCAATTGACTACTATGACCCATAACAAATAATTTTTGTTTTTATGTTTTCCGTTTCTGCATCATCAATATTGATGTGAGGGTCATTCGACCAAGTGCCTCCGCCATACTCTAAATGATACTTTAGCTACGCTCATGTGTTTTATGTGAGACCTCGATATTCTACATATATTACGATATATAAATACATATACAAAAACGTACTTATGGCATTTCTGCCGCGACTTAGTTTAAGTTTGCACATTTGGTGGGTTTGTCATTTTGACATATTGAAAAGTGATAAAATTAAGGTCTAGAATATATATACATCGATATAAGGAATTTGTAATGGGTAATTAAAAAGCGTTCCAGCCATGTTCTCTCACAAATGTATATGCTCTAAAAAGACTCACTACTAGCTATTATATATATAAAAATAATCATATGAATACAGTGCTGTGAATATAAGCTAAATATGTTCTCAGTTTCGTTAGAAGATGATGACGTGATCCGTTTATTACAAAAATTCTGTTTACGACTTAGAAGGGGCCCATATTGGAATGTGGTTCAACGATACTAAACAGTTGGAACTAAATTCCTTTCCATATATATATTAAAGAACGTTAAAAATCAATTCTTATTTCAATCCTTCACCTAAACTTAGCTGATTATTCGTCCCGGATTCCGGGTTAAATGTCCCGGTCGTCCCGGGCCTAGAAAAAAATTGTTTTGCTTTCTCACCTGTCGCGATTTTCAGTGAATTATAATATGGGAAAAATTGATGAGTGAAGAACCGTCCCTGATTTTTCCGGGATAAATATGGTCACCTAAAGCTAAACGTACCATTCCATTATGTATGTCATAATTTTAGTTTGTATATATCATGTTTGATTGAACATACTCACAATTTAGTATAATCGTGAGGTAATTTTAAATCTCAATTGTTGTAATTTTTGTGGCTAATAAGTTTTAGATGTAAACACACAAATCATTTCTTGCATGCCGAGAGAAGTTAATCCATAGTTGACAACGTAGTGCTTTAAGCACTAGATTAAGTGCTTTTCGAAAATTAAAACGGCAAAAATATTGTTTAGTCCATTGTGCCCGCTTTAGTGTTTTTTTTTTTGAACTCGTAGATAGTGAATACCTTCAAATAATTTTAAATATTTAAACTCATTGAATTACTGTACTTTATAAAGCTAGTCTCCCAGTAATTTTGATATGTTTGATGCAATAAAAACCATCTTTATTGAAAACATATTAACCCAATTTAAGGAAGATATACTGCCATTGGCGAAATAATTTGTTACAAATTCTTAAACTTTGGCGAATTTTGATGGTGGGTGTAAAAATATTAATTTAATCAAGATCATTATACTGAAACTACTTCTGAATTCTGAGTTCAAGTTAAGATTTAGTATAAAATGTCAAGATTCTGTAAGTCAGAATTATTTTAAAAATTTGGTAATTTCCATTATTAGGCTCTTCTCATTTAAAAAAAAGTCTTTTTTGGTGATTTTTCAAATTTCGAAGTTAGCAACTTGAGTTGGGGTTATCATTTTGGTAAACAAGACAAAACTGGAGTTTTTAAATTTTCTACTGAGGTTTTCGTCACATTTCCGATGTGAGGCATGAGAAAACCAAACATTTCCAGTTTTTATATTTCTGACTTGAATAAAGCTTGTGTTCATAGTACGAATGATATTAGTGAAGTGAGGCAAATATGTGTACCCATAACCTTAGTTTAAGCGACAGCCGCAAATTATTTTATATTCCATATATATTTGTCTTCTTTGTAGCAAACACTTTATTTCTATTATATGTCAATACAAAATAATTTCAACAAATTTAATGCCGATTCTCTAATACTATGAATATTGAAATTTCCGCTCGTTTAACATAAATGATTTTTTCTTTTGGGTAAAACCACTATCCCCATTGGGCTTTGCATCTCATAAATCCACAAATATTT